TCGTTGACAAGTCTTGCAACATGTGGCCGAGCGTTATCGTGCAAGACGACCATCACTTTGCGTCTGTTAACCGCTATTGTTAGTCTTTTTTGCAACAATGCATTCTTCAATTTGTTCAATTGACGTCGGTAGACATCCGCAGTAATAGTTTCGTTCAGTTTTAACCGTACGTTATACACCACACCTTCCTGATCCCGTAACATGCATCGCAAAATTTTAATGGCCACTAATATTCAACTTCGGTATTGACGTGAACGGTTCTGTTGGTCTAATGGATGACTTTTGGCGATTGATATTGTCGTTTTGGATGCACTTTTCGCTCCCGGCCCCATTACGCCACAGAGAACTCTTCGTTCTTTGCCTGGCAAGCAATGAAACCGGGATGTTGAAATGGTACGAAATGATATTTTCAGTCAATTCGTATGGAAGCGGTTTTTCCGCCTTATGCATTCTTACTAACTCCATAGACAAACCCTGAGTTGGGTTTTCGTTCAATAAGTCTTGCAATTCATTGTCTTTGGTTGTCGAGGACGTTGTCAGTTTTGAACGGTTGAAACAAAACCCGAAAATTGTGATATGGCGGAGCAGCATCACTTATTAACAAAGGGATTAACTTCTTTTGGATCGGTCCCATCATCATATCTATTCAACAGTCATTTTGACAGAGCTACGTATATTTGTTTCGAAAGGCTTTCAAATAAATATAAACACATTTTTAAAGACTTTCGTTTAGTGGATTAAAAAAATTAGCAATCAATAGGCAAAGCCCTAGATGGAGCCCCTTAGAAATAATCCAGATTTATTAGGGAAAAAATTTCTCTTAGGTAATGAATTTCACTTCCATATATACTGAAAGGTTGAAAACATCTTTTACGCCAATAAAGACAAATTTTTTTTTTTCCATTAGTCGTTCAATTTCGCGTTGACACATTTTTTTCTAAATTACAGCACTTGAGCAGATATTCTTCATAAACACAATATGAACCGTTTCGAATTTTATCTTGAGCTTCCAAATGAGGATCTTTTGCGATACATTTAAACACACTTTTACTAACGAGATGGATTTGTATATATATATATATATATATATATATATTTTATTGCGTTATTCAAGTATCGAAAGGTCTGTCTCTCCGTTTTTCAATTTTTTATTATAATATCCAAACATCATCCATTGATTTAAACGTAAAACGTATTCACTGTAAATTCCCGTTAATGTCCCTTATAAGTTCCCACACGCATAAGTATATATAATAAGATGCTATGAAAAATATCGTTTCGTCTATCGTTCTATATATTCATACTTACACACATTATATTAAGCCATGGAGTTCAATTCTCCACATTCCCTCTTAATTAATCGTAAAACTCAAATTTTTTTCATATTTTGTGATATTCCGAGTAACTTGCCTCGTCGATGAGCACGAAACAAAAGAAATGAAGAGAATTTTGCGGTTATGCGGGAAAATATTGATAATGGACTTAATTTTGGTGACTAGATGTCATTTTTAGGAACTCTTGCATCTTTTGTAGCATATTCTGGCCCACATGCTTTCATCATCAACCTACGTTTATCAACTCTAAAAACATTCATCTTCAATGACAGGTTGAACTTTTCGGTTAACCAGCAAAAATTCATTTAGTTACGTTAAATATCGGTTGGCTTTTTAGCTCTGCTTATTAGTAAGATATACCTTGCAGAGCAATTGATTTATGCTATTTATTGTTCATTAAACGAATAATCAAAAATAATTAGTCTCATCGTCATGCTCCTAATACATTAGGAGGTTGTAAAAATTTTGGCCGTGGAATACTACAGGTAAATATGATAAGCAAATGGCAAATATCAGGGTACCTATGAGTTGAATTCGATGGTTTTGATCTTTCTTTATCGAAAATAACAGTTTTCCCCCTTAATATTATTGATTTATTTAGCGCATGCCGACGGTAATCGTGGGACGCTCAAACTTGCATTTTTGATGCTAATTTTTGTTGTTCTTTAATTTGAAGAAATCTGCTGCCGAAGCCCACGAAATACGTCCAGAAGCTTAGAGAGCAATATTCGATAATGTATCACTTGATGAATCAACTATTTCTAGGCGTTTACATGGGATGGTAAAGAAGAAGAATTGATTGAAAATGTCATTTTGGAGACTTGTTCTAGTAGTTTCCCAGGGGATACAAGGTTGCAGATCGGATAGAAAGCTCTGCCGCATCCACTAGATATGACTTCTTTTGAGTATGGCTTTGACTGGTACGCGGGTGCGCAAAGTTGAAGAAGTGTGAAAATGGTTCGGTGGGTGCATCGTTCCCAAACCAATATAAATTCTTTCGACACGATATCGCCATTTTACCGAAAATATGGTAAAATGTTATAGAAAATCATATAACAATTTTGGTTAATATATACTGCACCGATTTTTCTCAATAAATGCCTTTTTTAAGGGAAAAAATTGCAATTGAGCGGGAAAAGAAAATCGTTAAGATGAATGTTTCACAGAAGTTGCTGTCAACGATCGTTAATGGCTTACTTTTCAGACTGAAGACTTTGTTATATGGTTTGTGATTTCTGAATAAATCGACCGAATAGAATTTATTTAGCCGTCAAGCTTGAGGAAAAGATTTTTGTGAAGCAAGCAGCAAGACCCACTTCCAACAGTAAAGAATATTTTTGAAAACATCCTTCTTCAAGGTAATATATAAAGAGTGAAAATCGTCCGGCAACGGCGGCCTTATAAACCAACTCTTCAATTTCGATGTTGAAAACGTGCTGCGCTAAAATCGAAATTCTTAAGAAAAATTCAGAAAGAGCAGCTATATTATTTTGTAACATTGTTGCGGACTTAAATACTAACCAAAAAGAACTTGTGAACTATTTGAATATGGCAAGATATATTTAGATTATCATTTTGTGTTCGATAGAATTGAGAAGTTGCAGCTTGTCCTTTTCTACGACTGATTGTACACTCTTCGCTCAACAACGTTATGTTTATTGGCAAATTATGACAATTTTAGATGATTCGAAGGCATTGGTACAACGAGACGTTACACGGACCGATTACCAATTAGGTTCGTTTCTGCAGAATTTCATTGTCCGCGCCTGCGAAAATCCCACGAATCACTATTTCAGAAATTCCATTGTGATGCGATAATGTCCTTAGCAAAATGACAAACATGGAAAAAGGGGGAAACGGGTGCTCGGGTGTCGATTAAAATGACATATGCTTGATTTAATGAAGTTTTGTTGAAAATATAAGAAAATTGTGTTTTAAGTTTTGCTGAAAGAAGGCTATGAACTTTTTGCTTAATTTATTACGATATCATAATAATTATTAAGCGAAAGAGTAATAAAATACGTTTTCGCAAAATACATAGTCGGCATAGTAGAAGGGGGTTGAAAAACGGTTTATCTCTTTGTCCCAGTGTGAGATCGATAAGGGTGAGAATTTCGTGAACACAATCGAAATAGACAAACTGTATTCTATAGAATAGATATTGAACACTCTGTTAAAACAAATCCTTCATAAAATTTTGCTTAACAATCCATGTACACTGTAAAAAGTTGACAAGCATTTCTAAAAATTCTGCAATAGTATTGATTAACTAATCCATTTACAATAATGGAAGAAGAGTAAGCCATTCTCTTCATTTTAATTATCTTCGATGTTCATGTTCTTTCGTTTATTATGCCAGTATCGGGTAAACAGTAATTTACTGCTTTCTTGCATGTAAAGCGAGACTCTTTGAAAAATGATCTATAAAGGGAGTTGGAGCAACGGCAGGAGCAAGAGCAGAAGCAGAAGCGCAATACTATAAAAGTAACAGATGAGTAACTTATTAAATGAAAGTTGAATACTGACCGCCCAGCCATCAACATTAAATGGAATTTTGTGAAACATATTCATTACTGTATATTAATCTGAAAATTGTATAATTTCTTGTTTTCTGTATTCATTCACACATTTATTCATAATAAAGAAAAATTAATATATATTTTTATTTATTTATACATCTTTTTCTTAATAAAGTATTCTCGATTAAAATTTACATATTTGCAATATTTCTTTATTTTTTAGTTAGTATGAATAGAATTGAATTTAAATTTAAAAAAAAAAAAAAAAAAAAAAAAGTTTTGGTTCTTTCTTTTTTTCTCTTTCTTCTTCTTTTTTATTTTTATTTTTTTAATTTACCAAATACTCTCAAGTTTCGTTTCTCATTTCCAAATTTATAACTATAAACGCACTTTATACGTTTTTTAATGTTTTTTTTTTTTGTTTTGTTTTTTCACCTAAAAAATCAACAAACCTTTCAAGCAAAAAAAATTACAGCTAACGTCTATCTATGACAAACTCTCGCCCGTTCGTATTTTATGTACCCACCACCGAGACAAGTGCTTGAGTTTAGTAATTCTCTGACTAATTCTTGCTAATATCATGAATTATAGTTGAGTTATGTCCATATCATCGATTTTATGGAGATTCTGATAACATTTGTCAACGCCTCTTCTCAGACCATCTTAGGCATTTTGAATAAACATCAAAAAAACAAAAAAAAACGCCACATTCCAGATGGTGGGTATCCACTGATTCAGATCAAGCCGAATCTAACCTCTTTCTCATTTTTATTTATTTATCTGTCAACATTAATTATATATATATGTGTGTGGTAGAAATAATTTTATTACCTTTAAATATTTTAGTAAGTTCTCTAACTTTATACGACTAGAAATATGTTATGAAAATATGTTATCAAAAAATTACATAAGTGAGAAAAAAAAAACTGAAACCAAAAATGCCAAAATTTCTATATATGAATTATGTTTATGTTTATTATTTTAATATTTAAAGGCCAAGCTTGAAGCAATACTTTGCATTTATTTAGAGAATAACTAGATTTTTTTTTAAGAGTAAATTTTCACGGGAAGTCGGAACTATTTGTTTTTGCATAATTTTCAGCGTAACTACAAAATTATTTTATTATTTTTTTTTTTATTTTATTTAATTTATTTACATTTTTTTTTAAATTTCTTTTTTTTTGTTTTTCTAACGCGAAGTGATTCATTTATTTATACAATTTATGCCATATAGTCATTCATTCACTGGATTGGTTCTTCATAAATGCCCAATGTATGCAGTAGATCTTTTATGTAGGACCCATGTTCCGTAGCTCAGTTGCCAAACAGAAAGGGTCCAAGTGAACCTCAAACCATTGGTGGCTTAATATCAACGAGAGTGCTGTGATGATCGAGACCAGGGCTGGGTGCTGAATTGTTAGCCACTAAATGATGATGATGATGATGATGATGTGGGTGCAATGCATGAGCATGATGATGAGCTTGTTGCTGCTGTTGTTGCTGCTGCTGTTGTTGTTGTTGTTGTTGTTGTTGAAGCTGTTGTTGAACTTGTTGCTGTTGCTGCTGCTGATGCTGAATATGTTGTTGATGTTGATGCATAAGCACCGGCGAACCACTGGACATGTGATGAGGCGAGGACAGATGTATACCCGCATTTAAGCCACTAGTCGATGTGCCTGATTGATGAGAATTTGGAGTACCAGGATGACTATTGCTGCTGCTGCTATTGCTTGGATTATTACTAGTGCCAGCTCCCGAAGAATTTAAGCCATTCGAATCATTAGATTGGTTTGCTGCTTCTTCTGAATCACTGCAGGACTCTGAAGAACCTTTCTTAATGCCACCATTGCTTGTCGTACCATTATGAGTTTTGACATGCTTGGCAAGATGATCGCTGCGCATAAAGCGTTTATTACAGATAGGGCAAGCAAAACGTTTCTCTCCAGTATGAGTTCTCAAATGACGTTGAAGCTCATCGGAACGCGTAAACCGTTTGCCACAAAAGAGCCAATTGCAAACAAAAGGCCGCTCGCCGGTATGCCACCTCAAATGTGCTTTAAGATGTGATGTTTTTCCATAAACTTTTCCACAACCCGGTATGTGACACGAATGTATATTTTTTTTTGCGTAAATGTACACCAGCAGGACCTAAACGTTCCGCTTCTTGGCAATTCGGACAATCACAAGTAGCTCTGCCGGCGTATCTCCTCTGCGATCTCGGCGAGGGAGTAGTAGGCGAAGAGGCTTGTGATGAATTAGCTGTCGAGGCTGCCGATGGCGAACTATGCGGTAAAGAAAATCCGCCAACAGTTTGACCAGGCAACATACTCTTATAGGTATCTTGAAGTAAATGTTGCCCAGTACCTAATAAATGAGCGGTATTTGAAAGCGAATGGCTAAGAGCTGAGGACTAATCAGAGCCTGCTGCGGCATAATTGGCCATGGTAGAATGCATACCAGCTCCGCCCATATCTAACCAACTACCGGCGGAATGCATATCCCACCAGCCAGTATTAACACTGGCAGCTTCAGCAGCCTTATGCGCCGAAGCGGTTACCGCGTTAAAGGGCCAATCGTAGGGATGTCTAGAATAAACCGATCCAAATGTCGCGCCCTCTACTTTTCCAAGGAGACCCTGATGCATATGATGATTATCGGGTACCATGCCTGCTGTAGCTGTACTCGTATTCGGAAAATATAGATCGCTGCCATAGGCTGAAGGCGTAGTGACAGCGGCACACGAGGAAGTTATGGGGCGACTGTAAGGATAAACGCTGAAATTATTGTCAATTTGAAAACCTTTCTTAGAAACCGGGGGCAGAACAATTAACGGAGGCAATGTTGTTTTCCCCCCATAACTTACCTTGCAGTAATGTTGACCATTGTGTTTATGCTGCTGTTAGATAGACTGCGCGATGTTGACGCTGCCGATGACGACCCAATGCCCAAATTAACACTGCTATTTGAGGAATTTGTTGAAGATGCCGATGATATAGTGCACGGAGAATGTTGTCCGCCAGAAACATTCGATGATGACGATGACGATGCCGGATTCGTATTGTTATTACTATTATTGCTAACGCTAGCGGGCGAAGCAGGACTTTTTTTCCAAGGATGAAATCCTTTACCCACAGCAGCATCTGCTAACGGCGGAGGAGATTTGCTGCTTAATTTATTGCACTGAGCAGCCAACATGGCCAAAGGTGTACCTCTTAAGCTCGGGTGATCCTAGAAAATTCGAAATAAAAAAAAATCAACCTTATAACCTTCTATTCCAATAATTTGCTTAGTTATAAAAAAAAAGTTAAAGGAAATTAAAACTGGGTTTTAAATTTAAATTTAATTTATAAACATTTTCTGTATCTTTGGTTTCTATTTCTGTACCGATATTCACATTTCAATGGGAAGACAATCATTGCATTATTTTCTTTGACTTTGTATGAAAATTACCCTCGTATATAAATCAAGTTATAGTTGACTTTCTAACTGTCAGCATATTGTGTTTGTATTCACGTTATTTAATAGATACCTAGGAAAAATTTCTCGCACTTACTTATCTATTCCCCTTGATATGTGGAAATATAGCGACAACCTAATAAGTGTAAAGAATTTCATTCAAGCTAGGGTGAACGTCATGCGCTACTTTACTTGGAAAAGCTTCCGTACATTTAAACACTATTGCTTATCTTAGCAGGATGACGGTTTTAAGCAATATCGACTGCTATTTGATTTGACGTTTGCGTACATCGTAACGGCAAATTTAACTTAAATATTCTATAAGCGACTTTCCACTAAGTAGTAAGAGCTCTCATATAAGTCGCCGTTAGAAGTCAAAATCATCCCAAACCTTCCAATTCGATTTAATACTCAACGAAGCCATTAAAAACACTCTTGTTGCAAAAGAAAAAAAAAAAAAAAAAAAAAAAAAACATTTACTGTTGTCTGCAACAGACTTTGGTATATATGTTGCAAAATAAATAACTATCTCGCGAAGTATTTTTGGACAATCTAAGTTGAAGTTATTGTGGCTTCGAAAAGTCACTCGAAAGACTCGAAGCGCGCTAAACGCCGACTTTAGCGAATTAATCGAAAAGAAGCCACACATTTTGAAAAGTGAGTGGGCAGCATCGTCTGATTACTAACTGGTTGTAAGAGTGAAGATCAACGTCTATGCAATAGAAGACGGAACGGAACAATTGCTCCAACCTTTACAACCGAAGCTAAAGCTATCCTTCAAGTCACAAGTCTTGCTCGTTAAACCACACTCAAAACATTTCCCATCACAAATAGTCTCTCGGTCATGAAAGTTATACAAAATCGTTGAAATTCCATAGGGAATACCATTAACATCGTCACATAAAGTTCCATTTGATGAAATTTTATTCTTTTCTTTGACGTTTGTTTATTTATCACAACTCAAACAAGTTTAAAACTATTTTGTACATTTCTCAACTGAAGATATATTTTTGGCCTAAAAATGGGTTAATTCTAAAATGAATGCTGTAGACACCGCGATTACTTTCTTCTTCATATCAGCGATATGGGAATCGAATAAAAGAACTCGGAGATAAGAATACGAAGAAGAGTATAATGGTGGGTATGCGGGATTCGGCCGCCAACAAATAGAACTTTCTTACCTGTTTTCTACGAAACGAGCCGTTACACATAATAGCAAATGGTTAATGCTTTAATTGGCTTTATTTGATATCTTTGGGATAAAAAAATAAATTGAAATAACACTAACAATAACCGCAAATAAAGAGATGATTCATTGTTTTATATCCGTAATCGATAAATGAAATTTTTTCAATGGTTATTTAGAAATTAATTGCTAGCATGGCATCTCTAGGCACTTTATCTTGGTTTAGCTTAATCAGTGTAAATTTAATTATGAGCTGTTCAATCCGCTCAGAGTCGTTTGCAAGAACCTAAATGACGTCTACCACTTATTCTCGTTATCGGACTCTTTAAAGTCCATTAAAGCAACATTGCTTAATACGCGCGATTTACCTAGGTCGTATTTAAACTAGCTTTTATCCTTAAAAAGTCGTTACGTTTCGAAAGTGAATTATTGCCAATTTATTATCGGTTGCCAGGCTTATGCATGTTTGCGATGGCTTAAGGATTCATTTGCAATTTGGTCCTGTACCGGTTGTAAGTGTGCTCCTATGCTGATAGTGTACATGCTTTTTTTTCTTTTTCTTTTTTCTTCTTCTTATTTGTTTTATTATGCTTATACTCAATTTTATTGTTAATTAATATAAGTTTTGCATTAAGAGCCAATTGAACTCGACTGTTATTTGTTTAGTTGAGTTTTTAGTATAAGTGGAATAATATAAATAAATAAATAAATAAATGAATATATAAATAAATAAATATATATATATATATATATATATATATGCTAGCATGATTCATATATAAGTTCAAAACGATTTTAAAACTATGCTTATATTGTTAAACTAGACAAAGATTTGAATTGATTTAGTTATGTTCTTCAGCCATACCTTCTTTTTTTTTTACTTTCCATACGTCCTCTCTCATTTTTTATTAAAACTCTTAAGCTCGCAAAAATTTAATCAAAATAGTGAAATTTGAAATGTAAATCTTTTAGTTAGAAATCTACAGGTAACCCATACCGGAAAAACTATTAGAACTAACCAACTAAACCATTTAGAAGAATTCAGATTGTATGTCTGAAAACTTATGTACTTGCTTCAGGTGAGTAAATGATATTCTAGCTGGAAAAATTGCATCCCTTACGTGCTCTTGATTGGTATATAAAGCGAAAGTGACTTTATCAGTTTGCATGCAACGCATGGAGATATTTATCATAGGCATAATAGATTATCTGGAATTGTTGAAGAAAAGTCAATAATTGCAAGCGCTAGCGATTATAGTATAACTAGATCAACGCTCGATCTAGTCTTTCACTAATTCTTGAGTAAACTCTTGAGATCTCTCAATGAATTTTCTTCTATATATGTCTTCTCAACTCAAAGCATCGAAGCATGAAGCTTCTCTTCGATCACGATTACCTGTGTAAGCGTCAATTTATCGTTATAATGATATCAATGATATCAATGATATCAATGGGCGAAAAATCAAAAATCTCGTAAACAATATTATCCTCTGCCCATAATATGCCCGCATATTCCGTAAAACATAGGTAACCCGTACACGCCACAGTTGAAGTGCAACAGTATAATGCAACTATAAGCGAAAGATGGTCCGATTTTACTAACTATTACAATAATAAACACTTAAAGTCAAATGGCCATCGTAGGCCTTACCGATTCAATGGATCGTTTCTAAACTATATCGTAAAAATGGAGGTTACTCGTTGTCATGTCATTCTCCGAAATGAGATGCACTTCGGTTCCGACTACTTAGTGTCCTCGTAGCTTAGTGCAAAATTTTTGCGAAATCTAAGCCTACATTACATTTAAGCATTTCCGCATTCTTTTTTCTGTTTATCGAAATATATTCTGCAATTTCGGTGCGGCTGCCTTGTTACATATATATTCATATAATGGGGATATTCAGGATTTTATGCTAACGTCAGTATTGCTTTCTCACTAGTTTTTTAATCGCTTTAATAAAGTCTGCCTTTGTGTGAGAGACGAATTTAAATAAATTATTAACATATGTAAATGTATGACAACAACCTGAAGCAGCAAACACCACGAGTAAAAGTTGTCAAACTACTAACAATGTTAACAAGAGTGACACAAACAACAGGTACAACAATGGAAAAGGCAAAAAATAATTATTTATATATGTAAAAAAAAAAAAAAAAAAAAAAAAAAAAAGTGAAATGAATTCATTTTTTATTACAAGTTTAAGTGAACTTTTTCTTTTACCGCTTTTGTGTTACAGTTTTTGTGGGTAGATTACGAAGGCGTTAAGTCTATAAACTATAACATTTGTTGTCTTCTATGTACGTACGTATCATTTAATTATAAATGAATTTATAAATTTAAAAATAAATATTTTATTCAATGCCTTTTTCAATTAATAAACGAGTTCGGAACCTACTTCGCCGTACCTTTGCCATTTTATTTATTTTTTAAGCGCAGAATGGTTATTAATTTGCCAAGTGATTGGGCGACACATGGAAAAACGCAACAAACAAGACATTAAACAAATGTTATATACTTTTTTAAGTAAGATCATTAAAAAGAAGGGCGTGTACATTTTGATTTTTAGCTCTTATAAGGCATGAATTCCTTGTCAACAAAAATATTTGTACCTAAAAAAAATATTCTTCTTCCACAATTATACTACAATTGATCTACTAAGTCTTTCAAAGATTTCCAACATATAAAAAGCTTCCCTTGTGAAGTCCCATACACTGTATTTATTTATTGATTAATTATTCAATTCCAGTTCACTACAGTGGCAGCCGAACAAGTGTTGAACTCTTTAAAATAAATTTTAAACTATGCTTAGAGCAAAGTTTTTTTTAAGTATAAATGAAGAAAAATTATAAAATAAATAAATAAATAATGATCGGAATGAATCCACATTAGTCCCTATAGAAATGCACTACTATTCTAAATTTGGATCACATTAACCAATTTTGACTGTTATTCCTCCTATAGGACTTTCAAAAAATTGATTTTAAATGGCCAAGACTTTCCATTTTTATGAACTTGTTAAGTCGGTTAGAAAAAATGACGGTTAGGGTAATGTTTGGTCTGCCTTCGCTTACTACTATCACGTGTTAACTTATCTCATTAAGGCATCATTTCTGTTCTTCTATCTTTCTTCCCTAACGGACATTACACATCACCATGTACACATCTATACACGTAGCGGTGGTGATTAGAAAGGACTCTAGCTAGAGCTTGGGGAAAATAATGAGTAAGCGTTTGATTTAACAGTGAGCACACCTGCATGGATGAGAACAACAGCTACAAGTAAATTACTTCAAAGGCGTGGTTTAAAAATGAGCAATCGTAATCGTGTATCGTGCGGTACATGACCATCAACAACAACACGTGGCGAGGGGGATGGGGGGGGGGGGGGGCGGGGGAGCTTACGAAGCTAAATAATCCTACTAAATGGACTTGTTTGGTCGACAAATCTCTTTTATCTCTACAGCGGACTTGTTATGTTGCTGTGCACATAATGTCTACATCAGACTGTCGCACTATATCAATTGTCTTGACAATGTTGACAGGTTCGTGCGCAATTAAATCATTTATCTACGTCAAAATGTAATT